TAGAGCAGAGCTCTTTGCTTGAGAAACTGCTAGAAAGTGCCTCGGGTGCCATCGTCACTCCACAGTGCTAATAGCACCTGCCCATATCTATTATCTATTTTACACTCCCTTCATGCCATAGTGGTTCTGGCTAGAAGTTTGTAAAATGAATAGGAAACAAACTGGGTTGGATACCAAAGAACCACACACATTTAAACAAGCTTCCCAAGCATTCAGACTGGTTGGGTTCACTTTTTTACTTCAGCCACATCTTTCCAAATTTTGTGGCTTGGAACCATCCTGCTCTTAGTGGATTTGTGAGATGGGAACAACTGCAATCTTGTGAGCAAATCTGACCATTTCTAACCTGATTAGTGAAAGAGCAAAAAAGCCCTCGATTCAGATTAAATCACCAGACCTTCTGAGCTTTGCTAATCATTACCAATAACCCTGTGTCTTCCACGCTTGAGCTCATAGGCAGCTCTGTTGTTCAGAAATAGTCTGAGGGGAGCTGAAACTTGCACAGCAGCTGCAGAAGGGTCAGCTTAACCTAAAGGATTGCCACTTGCAATTTGCAGGTTAAGAAATATTTTGTAAAACATAACAGGATTGCCTCGAACTTTGCTAGACTGCTAGACAACAGGGCTGGCTAATTCACACAGCAGATTCAGGTCCAACTTTGCAAGTAGAAGATACAACCCCAGAGTAGCAGAGGGGTTAATGTTGCCTCAGCCTCTTGAGAGAAAAGTGTAAATCAATGTGATTATACTTTGTTACAATGAAACCAGTTCTTAAGATGTTTGGTCCAGCTGATCTGAATGATGCCAAATCAAGTTAGAGTAATGAGATTAAAGGAAATATATGTTTTTAGTCCAGATACAGGTCTTATTTTATAACTTTATCATAACTCCTCTAAAGCTGTATGTACCATAGGTAAAGCAAAAATGTAGCACTGAATTTGAGTTGTACAGGCAAGATGTCAGCCTTCCTCACCTTCAAGATAAACTCATCCTGTTGGTCTCTTCCTGGCAAGCCATTAGGTAGGCTCTAACAGTGTGGCTGTACTTCCAGTATGCATGCTAAGGGATATAAATTCCTTTATTGATACATCTTAATGAAAACTGGTTTCCTACAAAGCTTCCCATACCTCACAGCTTAGGTTTAGAAGGATTTGCAAAGACTCTCCAGTTCAGGCCCTTGCTATTTTGAGCATCACAGAAGCCATCCCTTGTAAGCAATTTTGAAAGACCCTTTAAAGAAAGGTGGAAAGGAGAATAAAGTATCTTAAAGACTCCAGAGAATCAGCAATGGAATTTCATTGTTTAACCTCTTGCAAAAAAATGGAGGTGGTCACAATCCTGCTGAGCATGGAGAAATGAACCATGGCTATTTTGTTGTAGACCTAAATCTGGCCTAAGTATCATTAAAGCTTGCCTTAACTGCAGTATGTTTGATGTTGAAAAAGCTTGCAGATAGATTATACCTGTGTAAAATGGGAAGCAAGATAGCCGTTGCTTTTGTGTTAGAGGCAATAGGGAGCTGAACCATGAATTACTGGAATTTTTTGCTTCCTCAGGTTCTGCAGTTACCTTGCAGCTGCATGCGCTTACTCATATTTTTGGCAAACCTACCCAACAAGGTCACTAGATTGGTCAGCAAAGGCATAAAGGGTGTCAGTGTGCTGGTAGGTACCAGCTACATAATAGATACAGAGGCACAAGCTTGGAGTTTGACCTCAATTGCAACTAGAAAGAAGCTTAAAGTATAAATCCCTGTAACACTTGATGTTCCTCAGGAAGTCTCAGCTGTGCTGCTGATGGTGGAAATGATCAGCAGAGCAAACGCGTGGAGAATGGTAGTTTAGGTGCTCTGAGCTCACAAGTTTTCTTGGATGAACATCAGCCTTGGGCTGTAGTTTTAAAGCTAAGATGATGCCACCTGAACTCCTAACTGTGGGAAGCCCTTTAGTGATGCCCTGTGACAGGAGGTGTGATGCTGGGCCTAGCACTGCCTACTGAGATGGCTGTTGTCAGCGGGCAGGAGGACATGAAGAAGATAAAGAACATGGGGCATAGCACACAAATTACTGAGTGACCAAGACTCCTGATTAGAGATGGCAAACAGAGCTCTCTGGGGGTCTCCAGGTAAACAGACAAACCTTGTTCAACCTTGTTGACATGTTTTCTCCACCTACCACCTCTTGGGGAAGGTGTTGAAAGCTGGTCCAGCATACAGTTAGATCATTGAAGAGCTCTGACAGACATGGGGCTTAGCCTGTCCAGGGGAGAAGGCAGGTGGGCCTGCTGCACCCCTTCAATGAAAAAATTGAAGGACATGCAATCTGGGGCTAAGTAGGTTCATTTTTAAGGTTGTGTTTGTCTTTACTCATGCAGTTTGGAGATGCAGTTTTGTTGGTCTTTATGCTTCCAGGTGTGCATCACTTCCAAGCCTGTGTGTGCTTTTGGGCATTTCTTTCTAACCAGGCATGAGCAAGGCAGGGGAATTGTTTAGCACTGATATGCTTCCCTGTGGAGTCCTAGCGTGGGGTTGTTTTCCCCTTTCAAAGCCTTTGAGTCTCGTGGAAGGGAAATACAGCCAGCAGGATGTGCTGGGCTGCTGTACTGGGGTTTATGTTAACATCTGGCTCATTTCTGCTGGAAATTACAAAATCTTTCCTGTGGAAGGAGCAGGGAGTTTGGCCCTTCATGTGCATATAGACTGTTATATACTTAAATGAAAACTTAGGAGGCATATGAAACACCAGAACAAAACAGATGAGGGGGCAGGAATCATACAGTTCAAAGATGGTTTTCTCTAGACTGCTATGCGGTGGTTTTTGGTTTTTGTTTTTTAATTTTTTAATTCCCCTAACCCTAACTTTTTTATCTCTGTGTTTACATATTTACACTAGGAGGGGAAAAATCCCTCTTTTTTTTTTTTTTTTTTTTGGTGGATGAAGGGAAATTCAAGAGAAACTTTATGAGTGTCTGAATTGAAAAATTAATTATTTATCTTTACTTTCTAATAAAGTTGTTTAAAGAGCTATAAACACAGAAAAATGACATGAAACTCTCCCTACCCACTACAGCTCCTGTCTGCCTTTCACCTTCCCCCTTCCCCTCCGAAATGGAAGAAAATACCGATCTGGAGATGAGAGCAGATCACGCCTGGGAACAACAGAAAACCCTGAGACATAGGCAGAGCTCACAGCCTCCCCGCACTCCACCTGGCCATGTCGGTCCAACTCCCGCATCTCTCACAGCCTCTCTGAAATCCTCCTTGCCGGTGTCGGTGTTGGCAGCCCGGAGAGCAGCTCAGGCAGGGGATGGAGCAGGAAGCCTAAAAACTTCATTCTGCAGAGAGACCTCTAGTGTTTTTCTTTCTCCATGTCCTGGCAGAGTTCCTCCAAAGTACAAATACACACAGAGCTCCCATTGTTTGCAGCCCTTCACAAGCCCACTGATCCTAATATGGAATTCAGCAGGAAACCCATGATTTCCTGACACACAGCAAGCTGGAGAAAGAAAGGAAAAACTCCATTAAAAACCTCCAGGCTCTCCTCCATGTTAGAAATGAAATGGAAAATGGAGTGGATTTAACAGGAATCCCTGATTCCTGTGGCCGAGCTGGAAGAAGAGAGACACAAATCAAAGCCGCAGGCTGCTGATATTTTTTAAGTCGCAATAAATACTGAGAACTCTGGGGCAGGATGAGGATTTCCTGACTCAGACGAACGAGAAAGGACAGATCGCTTTTTTTATGCTATTCCTCTCTGTATATTTAATTTATTCAACTCGATGATTCTCTTGACTGATCTGGTAATTGTTAGAAGCGGCTGTGACAGCCTGGAAACATTAGCATGATTTCCTGAGTTTGAGATTTGCTGCCCCCCCCC